CCGATTGGCTCTGGTGCTTGTCGCGGGGATCAGGTCTTGTGTGTGGTACGCGTACACAGTTTGTTTAAATTTGTGAACCGCTACCCCCGCGCCCACATGCACCTCTGGTCGTCCGGTCGTTGTATTGCCATTGGAGCAAGGTGATTGGGGCAGAGAGAACGAGTGAGGTAGGCACTGTGCAAGCCTGCTTTACTATAAAATAATCTATGGAGACGTGCGATGGACGCCGTTGCTTAGGAAGTTCATTCCGAGGTCGGTTGTAAGATTTCATCTTACGGCCTTTTTTGGCTCTTATAGACCTTCAGTGTAATATATCCAACCTTTTTTGGCATACTGTGATCATTTTTTTCAGACTTGTTAATTAACAACACTTTTTGATCCGCACTGCGCTGACCCCACCCCCTAATAAGTAAACTGTTTAGACTAGTAGGTCACAGTGCACATGGCCATGGCGTTAATTATTGTTGTTGTTTGACAGGACTGTTTTCCTTTCAGCGTCACTAGCCCTCAATTAGTCCAGACAGTCTGCGCGGACCATAGCCCCCTGGTCGTCAAAAACCGGAATTAGTCGTGACTCTCTCTCGCTCCACAGGATGTTTATTTTTATTTTGTTTGATTTTAAACACCAATTTTGCACGGCGCAGTGTGGGTTACTAGCGATTCCAGCGCACAGCTGGGCGTCCAAACTTTGTGGATGTGAAAGTCGCCACGCCTACCACAACCGGGTGTGAGTGAATTGTTTTACTTCGGAGTGTTTTATTGCCCCAGTTTGGCCCTAGTTCGCGCTTGCTGAGTCCTCGTTTAGGATGCTTTAGCCATTAGCTAACGAGTAATTAAACACGACCGGTGCTTTGGCTCTGGATCCATACGGGGGTGCTAGGTACGCGTGAGCTGGACGTTTCACACCAATTTACTGATTGTGTCTGACCCAATCGTCTGGCCTGTGGGCTATTATGCGAAGGGCAGTGGATCCAATCCTGTCCAACCTCTTCTGCTTCCTATAAATCTGACGCGCCGTGGACTATCACCTTACTTTTAAAAGCATTGTGGCTTCGAAGGTGGTCAGCCGACGGAATAGCTCTGTTCTATAGGCCGGTGGTCAGGTTGCAATCCTGTCTTGATGTAGTTTTTTTTTCGGGCAATTTT